ATATTGCTGGCTAAGCACAGAAAAAAATGTTTATTTAGAATTATGCATTGCAGGGAAATCTACTTGCTTTCTCTCTCCTTGGCTATTTTACAGAAAGAATACAAAACAGAGTAGTCATAACCCCCTGCACGCTCTTTTTATGGGCTGATTCAATTTTAAAAAGGCAAATAGAAGTTATCTTGTGCTAGTGAAGTACAGGAACAGCAGTTTCAGGCCTGTGGCCTAAAAGTAATGTAATGATGTGGTAGAAAGAGAAGATAGGCAGAAGCTGCAATACTCTGGATTGTTTTCTTCTTCCCCTTCCTTTTATCCTGCAGCACACAGGGTGTGAAGGTAAGAACAACATCCTTGGTGCTGGAGCTGTGTGGGATGTTTGTCTGCAGTGCTGGAGCCCCGGGGCCATGCTTGGTATCAGCTGTGTCCCAGGAGGAGCTGGAGCTTTGTGGATGTGGTGCTTTCCCTGATGTTCTGGGGAAGGTGATGGTGTGAGATGCCTGCAGCTGCCTCTGCTCTCTCTGCAGATGTGGAACAGGAGCTGTATCTCAGTGGAGCTCAGTAAATCATTCTGAGGAGTGAAGCAAGGCTGTTAACTCCAGAGGATCCTAGAATTACATGGCTCGTGTTCAGTGTCATCTTCATCTGGGTACAGTACCCAGCACTGCTCACCACCACTAAGGTTCTGCAGGTGTAGAGGTTTTTAGTAGCAAACATCAGGGCCAGTTACAGTTTTGGTATTTCAGTCATAGATACAATTCCAGGTTGGAAGGGACCTCAAAGATCATCTGTTCCAACCGTTCTTGCCAAAAGCAGAGGCTAGGCAAGGTGACCCTGTCCAGCTGAATCTTACAAATGTCCAGTGTTGGGAGATCTACCATTACCTGGGGAGATTATTCCAATGACTGATGCAATTGTGAAAAATTTGGTTTCCTTTCATTCTTATGGTTTGTGGATACCCATGTCAGGTTTCCATTCTGTGATGCTGGCTGGGCTCATCACTGATGCAAATAAATGTTGGTATTTCTAAGGAACAGCAGGAATTCCATGCAAAGTGCCTTTGCTACAGCTCTGTTGTTGTCTGGTCTGTCACACACACACATACATAAAGAAAAGCATATATAAATATACATAAAACATCCATGTATGTATACTCACACACAGTGGTAACAGGTTCTGGAGCCAAAGCTTTTTGAAGTTTTCAGAACTGCTTTTAAAGGACAGGACTTTTAAAAGGCAAGATACTTGAAACAGAAAAGAAAGCTTTGATGACGGCTGAGGGAAATGCAGAGGTGAAAGGCCTTTACTAATGGTTTGCAGTAAGATCACACTGCAGGACTGTGCAGTTTGCAGCCTTCTAAAAGAAATCCCAAGGCAAACAGGCAATCTAGCAAGAGCCCTTCAGTGGCATAACCTCATAAAAATTAAGTTTTATGCTCTAGATTTGAAGGGCCTAAGTTTTCACTCTGGACTAGCAGAGCTCTGCCTCAGTGGGACAATGCCTGGGATGGCTCAAAAACAGTTTTGGAGTGATTCATCCTTTCCCCCTTTGAATTCTTGACTCGTCTGCCTCCCTCAATCTGCTTCCCCAGCGTGAATCCTGGATTACACAGGCAGCTCCTGCTAACGTGGCAGAAACGTGGGCAAAAGATGCTGAAAAGGTGAAGTTTGTCTGTCATGGTGCAGTGAGAACCCTGGCAAAAGTGCAGCAAGGGAGCAAAGTGAGGCTGGGAAAGTGCTTGGTGTGGGCAGCCGGGGCACGTGTGGTGTGTGTGGTGAATCCAATGTTTACTGCTGTGTGCAGAGCTCTTGAAATGCCTTCTTGGTAAGAAAGGCAAATGTTTTGTAGGGGTTGGTGCTGCAATGAGCAGGTTTATGAAGTTTCTGCCGTTTTCCAGCCAGGACAGAGAAGGGCTGGGGGCTCTCTGTGAAGGCTCCGTGTGGCTGGGCCCCTCTTGCTGAGTAAGCAAATACCTCGGTGCTGTGGGAACACAGAAAGGGCTTTGCACAAAGGATTTCTTCATTATAAACTGCTCTCCGCAGCTTTTACTTAGCAAAGTGTCAGAGCAGAGTGGATGTTGTAATGAATCAGTTGCTAGCATGAAAACACAGTTATTTCTTTTGCTTAAATCAAAAAGATGCTTTAGCAGAGTACATTTAGACTGTTCTCTTTATCACAAAACATTAACTTTGCATTTCATACCAAGAATTCCAAAGCCCCAAACTCTTATCCCAGAACAGGTTTAAGTGCAAGATAATCTGCAAAGGATGGTTAGCATAAATTATATTCTTCAAAGTTAAATAGTATATAAAAGGAAAAGTTAATCCTTGAAGCTAATTTTTATTCTGGGTATTAAGTCAAGAAGGGTTCTTCTGAACAGATTTTATTCATGTGTTTTATAGGTTGTCAACTAGAATGTATGTTTTTTAAAAAAATGTGGTGTCTGTAACAAACTGTGTAATCAGCCAGCATCCACATTTTTTCTGAGTCCTTTTAATCCAGGGTTTAACTGCTGAGAGACACTGTATGTTTAGCTTCAGCCATCTTGTTATTTATTTCACTGGAAGTCTGACTCAAAGGAATTCTCATCTTTACCACAATTGCACAAGGACAGGAAATGTCGAAGTCCTGAAACTGTGGCAACTGAAGTAAATTCAGGTATTTCATAATCCCTCAGCCCAGAAATGTACCCTTCTGCCACTGGAAAGGGAGACTGTCAGCCTTCCAAACACAGAATTGCTTTCAGCCCTGGGAAGCTGCAAGACCTGAGGAGTTTTTAAACCCTTATGTGGCTCATGCTCCTTAGAAAGAAATGCTCTGGGCTGGGTTTATTTATGTATAATTCTCCCCCAGATTTACATAATGAACTGGCAACAAGTAATAAGGATTACCAACCCTAGATGTAAAATTATTGAAGTGGTAATTCCTGTAGCATGCAAGAATTTTTAAGCATGAAGGTCTGTACAAAATTGAGTATTTCTTACTCATCATTGCACCTAAGTTTCAGGTTTGTGGGAGCTCCCCTCTCTTGTAGGAGACAAAATCCACTTCCTACCATAATCTGCAAGTGGAACCCAAGCACGTCCTTGCTGTGCCTCCTGGTGCAGCGCTGCCCTCCCTCCCTGCAGTTTCTGTGGCAGCTCTGGCTGTGGAGGGGACAGTGGTGACACTGACCTGGGCTGTGTGGGTACACTTGGTGTCACTTGTGCTGCTGAAATGGAGCCTGGTGATCCCTCAGCCTTGCTGGGTCTGTGCCAGGGCTGCTGTGCCATTTCCAGCCCAAAATTACAAATGCCATCATTGCACTCAGTGTTTCCATCACACTGCACAGGCCCTAAGAAAATGCTTCAAAGCAGCAGCTTCCCAACCCAGGTACTTGCACACAGTGGCTCTAGGAGGCTTTCTGGTTTGTTTTTTTGCAGACATTTTCCTATGGGCCTGCCCACCCTGGCTTTGGGTGAACAGGTCCAGGTGAGTCAGAGCCAACTCCTTCCCCTCACTCAGCTGCAGGAGACTCCAGCTGGGAACAGCTGTGCTGCGCTGGACTGTCTTCATGTGTTTGAAGTGCAAGTAATTTGTTAGACACCTCTAAGGTTCCTAAATATCTCTCCATCTTATAGATGGTAGAAATAAGGCACAGATCTGGTTCCACAATTAGCTAAAATTCAGGTTATACATTATTTTGCATTCAATTTAGATCAATTCTTCTTTGAATTAGAAGAACAGTATTGTACCTAAACACTTGAAAAATAATTTGATTTATTTGTTATATTTACACATTTCTCTTTAAGCTAAAATCTCAAAATTTTTGTAATGTTCTTTTGTCATCAGCTCCAGTTGTAGCCCTTCACACCTTTTTGCTATTTAACAAGTATTTTAATAAAAGTAATTTCTTCCCTTAGCCCAGTGAATATCAGTGCTAAAAGTTCAGCTGCTCAGGTGTTAGCTGCCTAGGAAAGCATTCAGCTCAGTAACCCATCACTTCCTACTTCTTTTAAATCTTTCTTAATCAAGTCTTGTAATAAATAAAGACTAATACCACCATGGAAACACTGTTTTTTTCAAATTGTTCATTTGCCAGTTTTAACAAGATAAAGAAAAGAATACTTAATGTGGACATTGTTTTACCAAAAAAAAAAAAAACCAAAACAAAAAAAACCCCAACCCCTGAAACAAACAGACAAAAAGCAGGACACAAAGGAACACACATGGAATGATGAAAAGGAACAATGATATTGCACAACTTTGCGTCTCTCTTCCCAGATTTTGATCCATGTAATTAGGTATGTATGAATTCAGCAAAACGTTGTGTCCAGATAATGTGTGGCCATTTGAGTGAATCTAGAACTGCAGAGTGTTTTCAGATCCCTTTGACTGCTCCTTGGAGTTCTTCTCTAAGGAAGCAGGGTGCTGTCAGCTGCAGGAATAATAAACAAACGCTGACTCTCCACTGTGCTGACCAATTATCCATAACCCACAGAATTACTATTCTCCTCTACTGTAAATGCACTAAGTCCTCAAAGGACATGGGTCTTAAAGAACTTGTTGTATCAAGAACTTAAACTATGGCTGAAACACAATCAAAGAACATCCCCCAATTTGCTGTGGTTAACTTGAGATTGTGTTTCATTTCATGAGACCAGGGCTTCTCACTGGTTAAGGGTGGCACTGAATGCACAGAAGTCACAGTAGGTACATTAAGGGAGTGGGGGAGAAGAAAAAAGGAAAAAATCATGCAAAGTGGAAAAAGATCTTTACAGCTACAATCTTTGCTGGAGCCTCTCTTAACAAGCACATACTGTTTGCTACAGAAATCAGGGAACTGTGTCATTCTGGCTATAGCAAGACTGTTTGCCCCTCCACTGCTACCCTGACACTCTGTGTTTAAATAAACTTTGCATTTCTGTGCAGAACAAAGTCTATTTTTCTCCTCTCTGCGTTCATTCCTGTTTGGTGGACTGATGTGTCAGCCAGCAGGGCTCAACAGATACATTTAATACAGGAGACTGAGATACAGTATGTTTATTCTTAACTTCTGATAACCTAAGAACTACAAGAACGAGAGATGCAGTATCCATTTGCTATGATCCAAGACAACCATTTTTAGGGAAAAAAAGTAGAATAAGTGATCAATGCTAATACTACATTAGTTCCAAATGTATTTTTTTTCAGTTATGGCAGCTTAACTATTTATTGTTCATCTGGCCCACTTTTAATCTGATCAAGTTAAAAGTCACATTAAAGTTTAAGGATTGTTATTTCATCAAAACCAAAGGAAGTTATAAAAAAACCCCATAAAACCACAGTTTCACTGCAGGACTTGTGTCGTATCTTCATAATCTGCATCACTTGTAGAAAAGGGATAATGCATCTCAGTTTGCTTACAAGCTAGGAGATCACTTTGAAGTCTGCATATTCCTAACTGCAAACAAAATATAGCACTTTAAACAGGTTATAAATAAACTGGTTTTCAAGCATAGAGCCAGCCCAACAATAACAATACACTATTAAAAAGACCTAAGGCAATGAATTCCATCTCCAATGGAAAAAAAAAAAAAAAGGAAAAAAAAAAAAGAAAAAGAACTGTGCAAACAAGCTTAAAACTATTTCTTTGTGCCAGTGTTATAAAATGTAGACTTCAATAAAGCCTTGACCCAAATGCCAGGACTTGTGAAAAGAATCAGAACAAAACTGGTTACTTTATTTAAGAAAAAAATACTCTTATCTTGCTGCTAATAAAATTGGATACACGCAGTTTGAACATTTACAGTTGCTGTAACACTTTACACAATTCCTATATATGGGTGTAAGAACAAACATTAAAAGACAATGGTGGGTCAAGGCTTTACATTAAAAATAACAACCTACTTTTCTATAGTCTCTAAAATACTATGTTTTCCAATATTTGCAGCCATTCAGGAATATTTTTTTTATTTATTTATTTATTAGGAAATGTATACTTTGTGCATGATCTTAATTCCTAATTCCTGGCTCTTTGGGCTGAATGACAAAAGGATCAAACCCATTGAAGTGGATGGTCTCCTTGAAGGTTCAGTAGAGAAACCCTGGCTCAGTTAGTCTCATATGATGAAAGCAGTGCTGCATCCACTGGCTCCATGCAGGATGGACAGGTAAAGGATCTCATCAACCAGTCATCTATACAGTCCAGGTGGTAAATGTGCATGCACGGCAGAAATCGGATAGGGTCCCCATAAACAAAGTCCATCATACAAATGACACATCTGGAGGGGAAAAAAATAAAATATTTAAGCTGCTGTTACCAACCTGGAATGAAAAACAGTGTAACATCTGTTCCTGGATGCTTCTAGTATTTGTAGATTCTGTGAGGGTTAGCCTTGTGTTAGATAAAAGAAAGAGCCTCAGATGCACAGAGTGGTTTGGGTTAAAGGGACCTTGGAGCCCACAGAGTTCCAAACCCCTGCCCCCAGCAGGGATGTTCCTCAGCACATCAGCCTTCTGCAGGGCTTCATTTTTTTTTTAAAAAAAAGCTACATTAAATTACAATCCCTGAAAATAAGGCAAATCCAGGATGACAAGGTCAGGTTTCCCAGGGTAGCATCCCAAACCAAGGCAACAGCTACATCCATTCAATCCCCAGGACTTACTCTCGGATCTTCTTCTCGGAGCCGTCTCTGCCGGGGTCGTAGACTCCTTTGGGAAGGTGCTGGATGAGGCCGATCCGCTGCGCTATCCGGATCTGCTCCTCTTCCGTCAGCTGCGTGGCCAGGCGAGTCTGGCTCGGCGTGGGGTGATACACAGGAACAGGCACCTGCTCCTGAAAGCAAAATGTTTCTGTTCAAAACCACCTCAGAGGTTTTCCTAGCCTTCCACAGCACAGTACAATTCACAGTGCTACAAATATTTGTACAAACTCCCACTCCCGCTTTGCCATTTTGGGGCTCTAATTATAATGAGAACAGGATAGGGAATTGAGGGCAGTATTTGAGCAAGGACCTGCTCATGGTTGTTCTCTGCAAAAGCTTTTGATCTCCGGGAATTATTCATACAGGAGACACATGGACAAGAAACTCCACCAGCCAGCCAGCAGGCAAATAAACCTTACAGACACCTGGTGAAGTGCTAAGGTACAGAACTGAGCAATGCAAGGGCTTCAGTACCTGCAACTGAAAGTGGATTCTACGTTTTTTTCTTCTTTTTAGGAAGAATTCTATAGAAAGACAAGGACACTGCTTACTCTCAAAATTTTCAGAGAGGAAGGTTTATTTATTTTGCAATAATTAAAATTTATGTGAACTGTTTTGGGCCACACAAGCTTAAATCTAGAACTGTGGATTTAATTTTCATGTGTTAAAAGAATGTTACCTGGACAGAACTAACAACAGCTTAAGTAAGTAACCCAAGTTTTATGTTCCTTCTCATACACTAATATGACTTTAGAAGTCCTTCCAAGCTGGATTCAACTATGGATATGTTTGAGGTATATCTTTTAAAAAAAAACATAAGCAACCTATAGCTATTATGCAGTTCTTCCTCGACCACATTCTGAGGAGCTTCTTTTGAATATTAATGAACTTTAGATCAGGTATTTTTACTAACATTTATATTAACATGGGATTTTTGACTTGCTTTTAAAGCATTTTTTGGTACATAAATACCAATTTTGAACAGGATACACTATTAGGACAGTACTGGCCAGTAGCCATAAATCTGCTATTAACAGGGAGGCAAATTTTTGCAAGAGACCCATTTTAATGGTTCTTCTTAAACAGCAGAAAAAAAATTCAACTTATAGATGTGTCTGAAAATAAACCTGCTGCATCAGACACACAATGCACCGAATCATCTGTTTGGCAAATGCCAAATTTGCTGTTTCAGAGGACACTGGTGCAAGCTGAGCCCAGGGCAGGTGTGTGCAGCTGAGGCAGCACAGGTCACCTCCCACATGTAACACTGCATTTGTCAAACCCAGTAAAGCCCTTCTCCTTTCACTACCAGGAATCACAGCAAGTGGACAGCCAGCCAAGACTCCTGGAAGGCCAGGAGGAAGCTGTCCCAGGAGTGAGCAGCCTCTCACTGGTGCCACCCAGCAGCAGAAGCCCTTGTTTGCGAGAAATGCTAATTACAAATGCAAGTCTGCCTGGCAATTCTTCACTGAACACAGTGCCTGCCACTGGCAATTCAGCTGTGGGGTGAAATTCACAGTCAGCTCTTAATTTAGCTGTCCTAGGATTTCCCCCTCTGATTTCCTGGCAGAACTCAGAGAAATTATGAGAAGGTTCAAAAGACAGAACATGCCAGGGGTTCTCAAAGTGATTAATTTCCTGACTACTCTGAACCATATTTCACAGAATCACAGAATTCTTTCAGAACAGCTGCCTTTTAGTGTTTTAAATTATCTAAAGTATTCTCTAATAATTATTTGGACAGAGAAAAGCAGTAGCTGAACCTAGGGCTGGCCTGTCAGATATAACAGTATTCAGAAAGTGATTGCAGCCTTTGGTACCAGCAAAATAAAGCATTTTCCCCTGATAAATGCCGCAGAACCTCTGCACTGAACACTTCAGCTTGAAGCAGAGCCTGGTCCTGGTTTTATGTTTCAACAACTTAACACCACAAACTATCAGTAACTTTTTTTCCCAGGGCGTTGCTGCACTTCTTTGAACAGATTATTAAAAACAATAGCAGGACATTACTGCTACCTCCTTCACTTCTAGGGAAAAAAGAGGAGCATTACAATGAACCACAGGCACAGCACAAGCTGGTGCCAACGTGGGCAGGAGGAGGGGAGAGGAAGTGTATTTAACACAGCTCCCCTGGCCTAAGCCATGGCTGCAGATGATAACGCAGAAATTCAATGAAAGGCAAAAACAGGAGGACAAAACATCTAAGAAATCCTCAAAACGTCTGAAAGTAGCAAGGAAAACTGATGCTGAGTATCTGTAGCAGAAGAACAGCAAACTGATGATCTCAGCAAAAATGTTACAACAAAAGGAAACAACAGCTAAGTAAGAATCTGCCGTGAGGTAGAACAGTCACATCTGGACAACTCTGAAGTGAGCAACAGACACACTGCCCAATCAACAGCTGCTTTGGTTAAGTTTTAGAGAGGAAATCAACACAACTTTTAAACCTGTGCTAGGCCAGACAAGAACAAAACCTCATTCTCTTGTTCTCATCCTTTACAGGCACTTGTGAGTGACCACTGAGGGACCCTGCAGCTGGGAAAGCCACTTGTGCATTATTGCAGCGCCCCTTTGCCCTGGGTGTCACCTTCCCTGCAGAGGGGCTGGAGGGACCCCCGGGCCCCAGCTCGTGCCAAACACACAAATGCTTTCCCCACTGCCAGCACTGGATGGAAACTCCTCCCTTTGGCATCCCGTCTCAGGTTCCCTCCAGCACAGCCACCCCGACGTGTCTGACACAGCCCATTAAGGCAGGAATTTATAGTCGCCAGCTGGGGGCTTCTACAGTTTCACATTCCAGACAAGAACCTCTTGTCAGAGGAGTAACTGGGTGAAAATGGTGGCGTCTTTCAGCACGATGTCCTCACGCTGGTGAATGCAGAGAGCTGGGGTTGGTTGTGAAAAATGCAGAACAAATTACTGTAAATAAACCACAGAGACCACTCGATACCCAGGCACTGAACAGAGCGTTCAGTGGCACTTTGATCTCCCCTCCCGACTGCTATTAAAAGCCTGCCCAAACAGAGCCCTGCACATGAATGTACCAGGGAAATGGAGAACACAGCCACACACGTTGCAGTGTCACATTATCGGGTACACGGACACTGACCCTTTCAAACCAGCCCTCTCCCCTCCAACAGGGAAAAAGAAAATGGTGTGTTCATACCTGTATGATTCTAGAACTATTTGAAACTATTTATTCATGAGAACGTGAGAGGCCGGGTTTCTCTGACTGCAAAGTGACATCCCCAGCTCCATCCAGCCCTGAGTGGAGCAGGGCTCCTGCCCCCCTGGCAGCCCCTTGGGCACAAACCCAGCTGGCCCCGCTCGCAGCCACGTGGCAGCTGCAGCCCTGGATTTCTCCACCACCCAATCTCTGCAGCAATTTTGGGAGTTAAAACATCCAACAATGATTCCAAGCTGCCGGTCCCGTGTGGGTTTATCACCCCTCTGCAAATCCTTCACAGTTTATAAAGGCTGCTTTCACTGACCAAGGTCCTGCTCCTCCAGGGTGGGTGTTCAAGGGGAACCTCGAGACTTCACTCAGCTCACATTTGTAGCTAGGTGCCCCCTGACATGTGTGTATATAAAAAAGATTGTATTACCCAAGTAATTATTATTTTACTCCAAAGACAAGCATGAATTTATTGCTCTGGTGTCTCACATTTCTCTTATCAACTATGGAAAATGTTTTTGCGGACAAAATTACAAAATACTGAACTTCTAGCGAAAGTCTGTGTTATTTATAATTTGATAAAGATGTAAGGCACTTCAAACTAAGATGAAATTTCATGCTAACTCTATTACTACATGCAAAAAACCCTAAAAGAGGCCAAAACAAATAATCAAATCCACATATTACTGTCAGGCAATGAAATAAAAATCACTTTCTGGCACTTAATTTGCTTTAGTCAATTATTTTTTCCCCATAAGCATTTAGTAATGATGAAACACCTCAGATGTCCATAATCCTGGAGAAACACAACTTTCTCTTTGTTCACAAAGTCAGTGGTATCAGCACAAGTTTCCCTGGCTTTCTGTGCACAGAAATAACTCACAATGTTTATTCAGCCCTTAAAAACAGCAGCATTAATTCAGACTCAAGGACTAAATCAGTGTTTGTGTCTCCATCTCACCCCAGCTCCTCCTCCTTTGAGGGGGAAAAAAAAAAAAATCATAGAGGGCATCTGGAGGCCTGCATTTTTCACTCCTAATGAAAATAAACATTTTCACACATGGCCTAAAAGGCCCAGAAACTTTCTACACACAGACTTCCAAGCACACTTTGCATTCTTGACGAGAAAAAGGAGGTTTGACCAGACATGGCTTTTAGTTTGAAGTTTCCTCATCAATGCAACTTACTTTAGTTACTTATGCTGCTGTATATCTGCTTTTCTCTTGTTTTACAGCCTTTTTGTCTTGTTTTTGCAAGTACCATGAATTTGTAGTACTCTGAAAACAGGTCAGTGGTAGATCAGAAACTCTTAATCCCTGGATAAAGATTATTTTAAGATCACTCTACGCCACATATCAGCAGTATGTTATCAGGGCTTTTGTTTGTTTGTTGTTTTTATAATTGCACCAACATGCCCAAATTATCCTTTCGGGATGTTCAAAGGTGAGATGAATAATTCCTAGCATTGAATAGTTCCAGAAGTTAAAGCCTCACTGCTTGCCCTGTTTCCATCTCTAAATTTTCTTCCTCACCTAATCCAGTGCTCTCTGCGTGTCTCACCCTGGGATATTAATTTCCATTTTATCACCAGATCAACATGTATCTGTTAATTCAGTCCGACAGAGGAGACAAACACCTCCCTAACTATGTTTATCCTACATCTTTTTCACACTTTTTAAATACCAGTAGCTGTAGCACTTACATCCTTGTGGTCGTTGACTAATTAATTAATGCAAATATAACAGTTCCATTTGCATTTCCCCAGCTGTTCCCACAGCTCTGTTCTGAAATCCCTTCAACTTGCAAATGTCCTGCCTGGAACAGGATGTCTGCAGGCAGCTGCCCTGCCTCACACACACCAGCCCCCATCACACTGCAGCCCCACTGCAGCACTCATCACCCCTACACACAGCTCAGCCTGGCTGCTCCCCAGCTTTCTCACCTCTAAGGAGAGCA